CTTGCAAGCGCAAATGCCCTAAAGAAAAACCCTGAAAAAAAAAAAAAAAAAAAAAAAAGGAAAAGAAAGAAAAAGAAAAGAACCAGGCATTGTGGTGCACATCTGCAGTCCCAACTAAAGCTAAGGCAGGAAATGTGCAACAGCAAGAACCTGTCTTAATTTTTTGTTTTAATTTTAACTAATAGAATTATCTTATTTGTTTTTTTTTTTCTGAGAGCTATAGAGCACATGCACTCTCCAGAAAGACAGAGAGAGAGACAGAGAAAAAGAAAGCAAGAAATCACCCCCCAGGAAGGATAGCTACTCCACAATTCCTTCTCCTCCATTCTCCTCTCGGGATCTTGGGCGCACACACACACACACACGCCCAGCGTGAGTTTAAGTCACTGGGTCCAGGACTCAAACTGTGGTCAACTACACATTGGTCCCAACTTATTTGCTTTTTTTTTTTTTTTGAGATGTTTTTGCCATAGAGCCCATGCGCTCGCCAGAAAGACAGAGAGAAACAGAAAGATAGAAAGCAAGAAATCACCCCCCAGGGGGGATGGCCACACCGCAATCCTTTCTCCTCCATTCTCCTCTCGGGATCCTGGGCACACACGCACACGCGCCTGGCGTGAGTTTAAGCCACAGGTTCCAGGACTCGTACCGCAGTCAGCTACATGGGAGGTTAGCGACATAGCCATTACACTAACTGCTGGTCTCCCAACTTATTTGCTTTTTAAAAAGAAGAATAAAATCTTCTAAATCAAACCAACTCCTCCACAGACTACCACAACCTCTGCCCTGAGAAGCACCGTGATCTGCCCTGCAGCTTCCCATGCTTTCCTCTAGTCTCTGAACTAGGCTCTGCCTCCTTCTACCACTCATTCCTACCTCCAAGCTTGCTTCTCTTCTATAGTTTTCCCATGCTCCTTCAGCTGTCAAATTCACCTCATCCTCTGAGGACCACCACAAAGGTCTCATCCTCCATGAAGCTACCTCTTTCTTCTTTCCTTTTTCTTTTTTGTCAATCCCCAAGAATCTCCCTCTCCCACAGAACCTGTCAGTAACCACACTACTTAGTATGTTTTGTTTACTTACTATATTTGTCTGTTGCTTCATTCATAAATATGATCTTTCAAGCTGGCTTCTGAGAACTTTAGGACAGAGCTATATTTACTTCTTGGGTCTCATTCCATAACCCATAGCAGATGGTCTTGAAAACCATTAAGCGCAAATTAAAAAACAGTAAATCATTCCTGTTTGTATGTGGGCATTTTGGCCCATCCTCTTCAGACAGAACAGAACATCTTACCTTTCCTTTAAAAATTCTTCAAACTCTTTGCAGTTCTTACGGCCATTGTTGAGATGCTGGACGATGCTGTCATAGCCGATGGTGCTGAGGATGTCTGCACTCTGGGGGAAAAGAAAACGTGACGTCAGACCAAGGACTGCATGGACGGCAGCCCTGAGGCCCGTAGAGTGGATGGGTAGAAGAGGCAGGAAGCAGCAATGGTACATTGCTGAATTGATTACCTACAAGACACACATAACCAAAGAAGAAGAAGAAGGAGAAGGAGGAGAAGAAGGAGAAGAAGGAGGAGAAGGGGGAGAAGGAGGAGAAGAAGGAGAAGAAGGAGGAGAAGGGGGAGAAGGAGGAGAAGAAGGAGAAGAAGGAGGAGAAGGGGGAGAAGGAGGAGAAGAAGGAGAAGAAGGAGGAGAAGGGGGAGAAGGAGGAGAAGAAGGAGAAGAAGGAGGAGAAGGGGGAGAAGGAGGAGAAGAAGGAGAAGAAGGAGGAGAAGGGGGAGAAGGAGGAGAAGAAGGAGAAGAAGGAGGAGAAGGGGGAGAAGGAGGAGAAGAAGGAGAAGAAGGAGGAGAAGGGGGAGAAGGAGGAGAAGAAGGAGAAGAAGGAGGAGAAGGGGGAGAAGGAGGAGAAGAAGGAGAAGAAGGAGGAGAAGGGGGAGAAGGAGGAGAAGAAGGAGAAGAAGGAGGAGAAGGGGGAGAAGGAGGAGAAGAAGGAGAAGAAGGAGGAGAAGGGGGAGAAGGAGGAGAAGAAGGAGAAGAAGGAGGAGAAGGGGGAGAAGGAGGAGAAGAAGGAGAAGAAGGAGGAGAAGGGGGAGAAGGAGGAGAAGAAGGAGAAGAAGGAGGAGAAGGGGGAGAAGGAGGAGAAGAAGGAGAAGAAGGAGGAGAAGGGGGAGAAGGAGGAGAAGAAGGAGAAGAAGGAGGAGAAGGGGGAGAAGGAGGAGAAGAAGGAGAAGAAGGAGGAGAAGGGGGAGAAGGAGGAGAAGAAGGAGAAGAAGGAGGAGAAGGGGGAGAAGGAGGAGAAGAAGGAGAAGAAGGAGGAGAAGGGGGAGAAGGAGGAGAAGAAGGAGAAGAAGGAGGAGAAGGGGGAGAAGGAGGAGAAGAAGGAGAAGAAGGAGGAGAAGGGGGAGAAGGAGGAGAAGAAGGAGAAGAAGGAGGAGAAGGGGGAGAAGGAGGAGAAGAAGGAGAAGAAGGAGGAGAAGGGGGAGAAGGAGGAGAAGAAGGAGAAGAAGGAGGAGAAGGGGGAGAAGGAGGAGAAGAAGGAGAAGAAGGAGGAGAAGGGGGAGAAGGAGGAGAAGAAGGAGAAGAAGGAGGAGAAGGGGGAGAAGGAGGAGAAGAAGGAGAAGAAGGAGGAGAAGGGGGAGAAGGAGGAGAAGAAGGAGAAGAAGGAGGAGAAGGGGGAGAAGGAGGAGAAGAAGGAGAAGAAGGAGGAGAAGGGGGAGAAGGAGGAGAAGAAGGAGAAGAAGGAGGAGAAGGGGGAGAAGGAGGAGAAGAAGGAGAAGAAGGAGGAGAAGGGGGAGAAGGAGGAGAAGAAGGAGAAGAAGGAGGAGAAGGGGGAGAAGGAGGAGAAGAAGGAGAAGAAGGAGGAGAAGGGGGAGAAGGAGGAGAAGAAGGAGAAGAAGGAGGAGAAGGGGGAGAAGGAGGAGAAGAAGGAGAAGAAGGAGGAGAAGGGGGAGAAGGAGGAGAAGAAGGAGAAGAAGGAGGAGAAGGGGGAGAAGGAGGAGAAGAAGGAGAAGAAGGAGGAGAAGGGGGAGAAGGAGGAGAAGAAGGAGAAGAAGGAGGAGAAGGGGGAGAAGGAGGAGAAGAAGGAGAAGAAGGAGGAGAAGGGGGAGAAGGAGGAGAAGAAGGAGAAGAAGGAGGAGAAGGGGGAGAAGGAGGAGAAGAAGGAGAAGAAGGAGGAGAAGGGGGAGAAGGAGGAGAAGAAGGAGAAGAAGGAGGAGAAGGGGGAGAAGGAGGAGAAGAAGGAGAAGAAGGAGGAGAAGGGGGAGAAGGAGGAGAAGAAGGAGAAGAAGGAGGAGAAGGGGGAGAAGGAGGAGAAGAAGGAGAAGAAGGAGGAGAAGGGGGAGAAGGAGGAGAAGAAGGAGAAGAAGGAGGAGAAGGGGGAGAAGGAGGAGAAGAAGGAGAAGAAGGAGGAGAAGGGGGAGAAGGAGGAGAAGAAGGAGAAGAAGGAGGAGAAGGGGGAGAAGGAGGAGAAGAAGGAGAAGAAGGAGGAGAAGGGGGAGAAGGAGGAGAAGAAGGAGAAGAAGGAGGAGAAGGGGGAGAAGGAGGAGAAGAAGGAGAAGAAGGAGGAGAAGGGGGAGAAGGAGGAGAAGAAGGAGAAGAAGGAGGAGAAGGGGGAGAAGGAGGAGAAGAAGGAGAAGAAGGAGGAGAAGGGGGAGAAGGAGGAGAAGAAGGAGAAGAAGGAGGAGAAGGGGGAGAAGGAGGAGAAGAAGGAGAAGAAGGAGGAGAAGGGGGAGAAGGAGGAGAAGAAGGAGAAGAAGGAGGAGAAGGGGGAGAAGGAGGAGAAGAAGGAGAAGAAGGAGGAGAAGGGGGAGAAGGAGGAGAAGAAGGAGAAGAAGGAGGAGAAGGGGGAGAAGGAGGAGAAGAAGGAGAAGAAGGAGGAGAAGGGGGAGAAGGAGGAGAAGAAGGAGAAGAAGAAGAAGGAAGAACGCATGTAGCCATGAAGGAGTTTTTTAAGTGTTGAAACCAAAGGACCACAAAACAGGAAGGAAGTGACAGAGGAATAAGAGGCGCATGGCCAGCTCCCTCTCTGGGCCTTCCATTCACAGGTTAAGTCAGGTTAGGAGAAGGAGCAGAAACCAGGCACTCACTCCAGCCTTCCGCACTGTGCTTCTTTATACTATGGGGAGGAAACTGACTCACCCTACAGATCCTTGCTTTTTGTTTTTTGGGTTTTTTTTTAAAAGAATTATTTTATTTAACTTTATTAATTTATTAATTTTAATTTGACCAGACAGGGACAGAGCGAACAAGAGAGAAAGCCACCTAGTTCAGGACTTGAACTGCAATTGGCCATGTGAGAGTCCAGCACCCTTAACCACCACACTACCTGCCGGCCCCATTACAGATCCATTTTAACCAGGAGCTATACAACTTTCACTTTGCACTTAAGCTTGCTGTTAAGCTTCACCCCAGCATTTCTCCCCATAGCCTGTTAGCCCTGTGGAGGGTTGGGGGTATCTCCACAAAAGGCAGAGCCAGGAACCAAGCATCAGGAATGGAGGAAGGGCCTGTCTGCCCACTGGGCAGCACCAGCGGGGTCCAGGAGCCAGCATGCTCCACATGGCCACTGGCCAACTTGATGGAACGGACTTCAAAAAATTTAAGTTAGCACTTTATTATACTTAATTTTACTATGTTTTCTGAGGTTGTAGAGAGCTGGTTGAGTCCCTTAAATCAGTAGCCCAAATGCAGTACATTTTAAAAATCAAGGGTCCCAGGGCCAGCAGGTGGTGTGGTGGTTAAGGGCATTGAACTGCCACATGGCCAATAGCAGTTTGAATCCTGGGCCTGGCAGCTTGTTTTCTCACTTTTCCTCTCTTTCTCTCTCTCTCTCCCCCCCCCTCTGGTCAACTTAAAATAAATAAATAAAGTTAAATAATTATTTTTGGAGAGGTTTTTGCTATAGGGTGTGTGCACTCACCAGAAAGACAGAGAGAGACAGACAGAGAAAGCAAGAAATCCCACCCCCCCCGCCCCGGGAGAATGGCTACGCCGCAATCCCTTCTCCTTCATTCTCCTCTTAGGATCTTGGGCACGCACACACACATGCACCCAGTGTGAGTTTAAGCCACTGGGTTTGGGACTCGAACCGTAGTCAACTACATGGAGGCCAGCGACACAGCCATTATG